CCACCCTCGCCCGCAAGAACCCCTCGGAACCTCGCGGGTTCGAATCCTCAAATTCCCCTTAACTTTTTCTTTAATTTGATTTTCCCCCACGAAGAATGCAAATTTTGTCTCGAACCTCCTTCCGCAGTCATAAGCAGCCGCGAAAACAGAACCGAAAGGGGGAGACCAGAGAAGGTTCAGGGGTGGGCCCCGAATTCGGGGCTGCAGTCCCGACACCCAACCCCTGCGACAGGGACCTCCTGCCGAGATCAGAGGCCCGGAGCACCCACTTCTACCCAAACTCCTCCCGCGAGGGGGTTCGGGAAAGCCCGAGAGGGCAGGGAGGGGGAAGCCCGGAGACGCGCGCGCTTGAGTGGGTGAGTGTGTGGGTGGGTGCGGGTGGGTGTGGGTGTGGGTGTCCCTGAAGACAAAAAACTCCCAACAGTCCCCCACCTATAGGAGCGGAGGGGGGCGATCAAGGTCGGCCGACCCAGCGCAGGTGGAGGGCCTGCAGCGCAGCTCTGGGGCGCTCGGCGTTCTGGCCGCCGCGGCCTCTCCAGGCTCCCGGCTCCTGCAGTAGGTGTCAACGCTCTTTGGGGTGGCGTCTTTTCCTCCCTCCTCAAGACTGCCCACCCCACGCTCGTGGACTACTGAGGCTGTGGTGGGCTTTGCTCCCCAGCCCGGCCACCCGCTGGGGTCACCCCGCAGCCCCACTCCCCACTCCCCACTCCCCACTCTCGAATTCAGGCACTGGGCTTCGGGCTCCGAGGGAATGCTCCTCGAGCAGGCAGGGCTCCCGTACCTTAATTTTCTTTTCCTAAGAGGCCCGCTGAGGGTGAGAAGAACACGAACAAACTCCAACTCTCCCCCTCCCCACACACACACACCCCCCGACGCAAAGTGTCCTTTGTCAATTAAAAAGTTAAGGGCGGTCAGTCCCCTGCCAGCTCTGCCAACTAATCTGGCATTTTCGATTTTAACGTGCGCTCGAAAGAACAGTTTCTGCCTCACCACCTGGACAACTTTTTTTTTTTTTTACTTTCCTAGATTCAGCTCAAATCTGAAAGGTGTCAGTGAATTTCCGAGCTAAGAGGCCGAAGGGAGTTGGTGGGGCTTCGGTTTTAGCTTTCGCCTCCCTGTGCTCAACTAGCCCTCGCTTTCAAGCAGAGGAAAACTAAAGCTAATGGAGATATCAAACAGAGCCGCAGTTCCGAAGGCTCCTTTTCCACCAGCAGCACCCACCGTCCATCTGCAAGTGTAATCACAGAGACTTGTGGTGTCTTCATCACCTGGGGCTCCGGGAGACGGGGAGACAATTCTGCTCCGTTAAAAGGCACCCTCTATTATCACTTATTATTTGTGTATAGCAACGTAAGAATTTCTCCCTCCTCTTCAAATTCCCCCACAATATTTAAACAACATTTGTTGTCCGATTCATACAAACGCTCGAGGCCTTTCTGGAAAACCATTACCATTCAATGGCTAGAAAATTGCTCTCCTTCCTTTAAAAAGGGGGTGGGGGCAGGCGCAGCAGCAGCAGCAGCAGTAGCAGCAGCTACAACAGACAACAAAAACTTTCTCCAGCATAATCCTGGCTCACGGAATGACAAAGAAAAAATATTGACTTACCCCTGAACGGATGATGTGTTTGATAAGGGGAGGGGGGGACTTTTTTGAAGATTTCTGTCCGGGAGCTGCACAGACAGCTGCAATTCATGGGCGATGCTGATTGCCAGAAACGCTATAGATTGGCATGGGGTCTGCAGCTCACAGATTCTGATCAATACCCCTACACTCACACGCCAGATGGTTTGGGGAAGGACAAAAATAAAATAGTCCAAATCAACCCACCATTATGTCTTTTTGTATTGCTCTGATAAACCTAGTTGTAGCACAAATGTGCTCTCCTCGACAGAAAACCTTCAGCATTTTGAACATTTGGGTGAAAATCAGCAGCCCTTTTCTTCCCGAGATTTGGGTTATGGTTACTGTTGTTTGGTGAAAGCAAAGCTGTTGGGCCCCTCATCCAGACTGGGTTTACTTGTGGTCTGTTTATTTGTGTGTGTGTGTGTGTGTGTGTGTGTGTGTGTGTGTGTGAATAATTTATAGGGTCTCTGTTTTAATTGAATGTTCACTGCTTTCTCCCTCTCAGAGCCTAAAAAACAGTTTCATGTGAAAACGTATATGAAAAGCTCTGACAGTAAAAATTTCCAGTCTTTTTCTGCAATTGCTAACTCAAGTTCAGATTTTTTTTTTTTTTTTCCTTTACAGTATAATAGCTCTTACGTCTGTGGTCAAAGCTGCATTTTACTTACAGGCTCCTTTTGACCCATTGAAGTGTATGATCTTGAAGAAAATCGGACCTGTGGATGTGGCATACCAAGAAATAGATATCCTGCTCCTGATATGATGCCTGGTACAACTGTTTGTCCAGATTCTAATAGTCATGAACTAGCTCTCTTGCTACCACATTTCTATACAGTCTATTTGTGAATCAAATGCCAGGGGGAGGAGAGAACAGACGTGTAACTTCAAATCAAAAGAAAAATTCTGAGTCGAAGAACTTGTCAAGCTTATCGTATGTGTCCCAAACAAGGGGCAGTTAGAAAGCAACCCTTCCTTTATATTAAAGACCAATAGAGAAACATCAAAGACATTTCAAAACATTTGAAAATCTTACCAGTACTGATGTTCTTAAAATTACCTTCAAGTAGAAATAATTATTTTTCCTTTTTAGAAGGACAGGGGAAAGGGCATGCAGACCTAATTCAGTAAAAACTGGGATGCTAACTAAACGTGCACATTAATTTTCCTTTTAAGTGGGTTTTGGGTTGAAACATAAAACCTCAAACCACCGCTAGAAAAACAACGTGAAAAATCTGCTTTAATCTAGCCCAATGAAATTATACACAAAGAAGCCAATACCATTTCATGATTTCCCTGAGATCGCCAATATTGATCGAGGGAAGGGGGGGCGGCGGTGGGAGAGAGGGAGAAGAAAGGGAGGGGGAGAGAGGGAGCTAGGCGGCCAGAAGATGCAACTCACCTTTCAACTCCCCAGCACGTGCCTGCTCCCAGGCACACCTAAATGCAAGTCCCATGAGATACGTCTTGGTAGCCTGGTAAATGAGTTTATCATTTGGAAAAATTATTTAAATGGCCATTTTGATATTTAGATTTCTATACAGAGGCAGTACCTATCGTCCCAGCCTGGGGTCACTGGCTACTCTTTGAGGCTGACGCCAGGGCAGAGGAGGCTTCCTTCAGCACCAGGGCACACCAGAGACAGGCTCCTTCCACAGCCTCTGTCCTCTGCTGCCCTATTTCAGTCTCTGAGCGCTCCTGAACCAACAGGAGGTTGCAGTCATTAACTTTTGTTCAATTTGGTGTGAATTTCGAACATGAACTGTTTCGAATTATCCCAAGTGTTCAGCTGCCTTCTATAAGGTGAGGCGTGGGGAAAGAGACAGGAGGAGAAGGTGAGAGGGAGAGGAAAAGCAGAGAAACAGAAAACTGAGCTATTTTACCTGTCTAGTTTTGTGACCTTAAAGAGGCGAGCATCCAAAAAAGTATGTCTACAATGCAAGGGATCATCCCACTTTCTTACCCAAGCTTTGATATTACAGAGAAGCAGCTATTTGAAAGAATAATTGGCAAGGTATTGTCCAGAGCTCAGTACTAGACATATGAATAACATCACTGTACGTTTCATATGGCAGGACAGTGTGGGAGGGGTGGATTATTGGGGACTCTGTAGCTAGAAGAGAGGAGGGCAGCCCTGAAAGGTCAGGGAGCCTAAGAACTATTTTAAACCCTTTCTCCAGCGCCTGGAAGGCACATACAGTATTCCAGGCTGTTTTGTGTGTGTGTGATTTTTTTTTTTTCTATCAAGTTTTCTCTAACAGCTGGAAGTGGTTGGAGGGGGCTGTCTTAAGGAGACCCCCTGCTCTTCTTTTGACAGCTGATCAAAAGAAAATAGGTCACGCTTCTCAAACTTATGTCCACCCTGTCCTTAATTACTGTCTCTTTAAACAAAGGCAACATCTGCGCAACCTCAGCTAGCTTGAATCTGCGGAGGCAAACAGAGCGCAACCTGCTTTGGAAGAATCTGTTACTTTTAAGGCTTTGAATGTTCGGCGGCTCCCTAGTCAACCACCTCTCCACCCCCCACCGAGGTGGCAGAAATCTCCACCTTTTCTCGGCCCCGCGCCACCACTCCTGCCTGGTCCTCGATCCGGGGTTACTGAATAACGGAAATTCTAGGTAAAAGAAGGTGTACTTTTTAAAAAAGCTGCAGCTTGAGAGCGTTCTAGAATTCGCGGGGGCCCCGGTCTTTTCAGAAACGAGGTTTGGATATGTCAGTGCCTGCCGAGGCTTCGCGGCATCTACCCACAGCCGTCACCCGGGGCTTTCCTCTCCGGGGATTCAGAAGCAGTGTGTGCGTGCGCGCGCGTGTGTTTGGAGAAACGTCCACCGGTGTTGTCCCAGACTGTTTACATACTTCCTGCCCCCAGAAGTTTGCTCCCTGTAGAAAACGGTAACAATCTTGCCGCACCATCCCTCACCCCCAGCACCACCACCGCCAATTCTTTGCAGTCTCGAACGAGGCAAGCATTTGGTCACCTTGAAACCGCAGCTCCTGGAGTTTTAGTTTTGTTTAGCAATCTAGCAGGCCCCTTCTGAAGCCTCATAACAGGGAGATTTATGGGCTCGCCGGGTAATTAAATGATGTTATTGTGTTAACTTTGCATGCATTACCGCGGCCCGAGCCGCCCGTGGGCTAGCGTCCGCCGGCCGCAGCTCGCAGGCGGCGAGGGCGTCGGAGTTCCTCTCGTCCCGTAGCCTGTGCAAGCCCCAGGCTCGGGAATTTATCCCGCATTAGAATACGTTAGCGCCTGCTTTTTAAAAAGCTAAAAAAAAACTACAGGCTCCCAGCGAGGGACGCTTGGGAAGTGGCTTGCTAGGAGACGTGTGCTTGTTTTTACACCCGCAAGTAGCGGAGTCCTTTCCTCCCAGCTTCCTAGCCTGGAGAAGAGCTTGGGGATGAGGCGAAGGGGACCGAAGCAATGCCCTTTCCCCGCAGGTCGCAGCAGTTCAGGAAGGACGCGGCGCGGCATCTTTAACATAATTTCTGTCCCCCGCTCGCACTCTCGCCTGTCTCTCCCTCCTCTATCCCTTCTTCCCCTCCCTCCCTCTCCTTGACGTTAGATTCCAGTGGCAAAGGAGGAAAAAAGACAGAGCCGTCAGCCAAACGTGAAACCCTCAGCCCCGCCCCCTCCCAAGCCATTGGCAGACGCGCGCAGGAGGCCCGCCCCCGCGGCCAGCCGTGGCCTCGGAGTGGCTGCTCGTGGCGCTCATCGGGCGCTGCCCCGCCCCGGGTCCGGGAGGGTAGGTTGGCTGCCCTGGCCAGCGGCAGAGCCCTTCTGGACAGCTCCCGCTCACCCAAACAGAAGCCGTCC